GCTCTAGTCCGTCAGCCTCTGACTGTCGTTTGATTTGGAGAGGAGAGAGAGAGAGAGAGAGAGAGAGAGAGAGAGAGAAACCTGCAGCCCAGATTGCAAAACACAGCCACTTCAGGCGTGTTATGTAACGCCACGGGTGCTGTCTAGCGGGCCCTGGCGGGGACGAGAATAACGGAGTCCACGCCACAGGTCGGAGCGTGGTTGTGGCGGAGGCAGGGCCTCCGGACGGACCGGGTGGGCTGCGCGGCACAGCCGGGCAGCGACTGCCCAGACGGCGCGTCTGCCCCCGCACCCTCAGCGGTGCTCGCGATGCCGTCATCAGCCCGGGGCCCCGCTCTCCAGGGGAGTCGGGCTTCCTTCCCGGGTGAGCGCCCAGCCCTCACCACGGTCACTGAGAAAGAACACAGGCCCACGATTCTGAAAACCGCGCTCCGCTCCCCGCCCTGCTCCTTTGACGGGGGCTCCGGACCTTTCCGAGGGCCGCCATCCCCTCCGCGGAGGTGCCCACCAGCTCACCCTGAGGACGGCCCAGGCGCTCCTGGCTGAGCCTGCTCCCCGGGCCCCAGGGGGCTCCTGCCCCGGCTCAGACACCGGCCCGGCTCCCTGGTGGACTTCAGACAGACCCTCGGCAGTTAAATAACAAGAATAAGAAAAGCCTGACGATGTCTTTATGAGCCACCGCCCTGCTCTGTGCCCCCGGCCCCGTGAAGGGTTGACTTTCCAGGCGAGGAGGGAAAAAGGGACTCCTGGAAACGCAGGGACGGGGGCTGAGCCTGAGGAGGCAGAGCCGCACGCAAGAGCCAGACCTTCCATTACGGACGCGGGAGGACGCAGCCAGCCCGGGACGCTGTGGGGTCAGCCTGGGTGTAGGGAACAGGCTCCGTGAGCTGCTCGGCTTCTCAGACGGCGCAGGCGTGTCGGAGGCCTCTCGCGCCCTCTAACAGATGCCTGAGCACTGGTTCAGGCTGGCCACCTGCTCCCCAACAGCCCCCCTGGGAGGGTCCGCCCGGCCCCGTGGGTCGCAGCAGCAGCACCGAGTGATGGAGAAAAGAAAGGGCACGAACGTGGTCCCCAACCAGGGAGCCAGGGTGGGCCCCGGGGTGGTCTATGCCCCGCTGCCAGCAGGGGTGGGCGGTCGGGCACCGGCTCGCCCTGGCGGGGGCACAAAGGGACCCCGTCTGGCCCGTAAGGGAATAGGAAATAAAGGGCCCAGGTACAACGATGGGTTGGGAGGCGCTTGCTGGCAGGCTGGGGCCAGTGGAGTCCCGAGTCTGGGCCACTGTGCAGTGTCTGTGGGGCCTCAGACCTTCTGAGGGCCCCCAGTCACAGCGGGGCTACCGGGTGCCGACCAGACCGTGGCCAGGGAGCCCCCGGCCCAGCCAGCAGGAGGGGCTGAGGCCGAAGGGGGCGCATAGGACCTGTGGCTCCCGCCTGCCCCTCGGACCCTGGTCTGGGGAGGCAGGAGGAGGCAGCGAGTGTAGTGTGTGGGGCAGGTTCCCACACCGTATTCCGGCCTCCCAGCCCCACTGCTGGCAGCCGCCCGACGTCACAGCGTCTGCCGAGTCTTCCCCAGTCACGGCGGCCGTGCCCGCTGCCCACCCCCTGGGCTGTGGGCAAGCTCACGGCAGGCCACCTGGGCTCGGGTGGGCCACGCTTCTTCCCTTGCCAGCTCCTCCCCAGGGGAGGAAAGGAGTGTTCTGGAAACCAGGGTGTTGTGGAGGGAGGGGGGGCACCAGCCTCCTGGCCTCCAGGGGCCTGTGCACTGGACAGTGAGCCGCCCTCCAGGGTGCCTCTGATGCAGGAAGTTTGGGGTCACACACACGTAGACGAGGAAAGACAAATACTTCCGAAGACATTTAAAGACAGGTCAGGAGGACCAGAGCCCCGTGGGAGAAACCTCCGCAGGCTCACAGTTCGAGGCCATTGCACACGAGAGGGTGGGCGCTCCCCTTGGCCGGGGAGAGCTCTGTGCTCTCCCGGGGGTCCCGGCCCGCCACCTGCACCGGCTCCCACGATGGTGGACCATCAGCCGGAGCAGCAGCAGCAGCAGCGGCGGCAGCGGTAGATCCTGGGGCGGCGGGTCCCCAGCTAGAGCTCTTCGAAGAAGGCCACTCGGGACTTGGCGCTCTGCAAGGTGAGCTGCAAGGAAGCAGAGAAGACGCTGAGAGGGGGACGCGGCCCCGGTGCCTCGCGGGGAGCTGGCTGCCTGGTGGGCGGACCTCAGAGGCAGCTTGGAGGGCAGGGGAAGGGACGGTGGTTCAAACAGACGTTCAAGGAGCGGGTGTCGGTCCCAGACACGGCTCCAGATCAGCCCCCAGAACTCCAATGGGGAGGTGACCCAGGAGGACATGCCGGCGGGGGGGATG